CAAAACCATAAAACTTCTAGAACATTAGAGAAAACCTAGGTAAGCCTGGATGTGGTGATGCCTTTTTAGATATAACACCAAAGGCATGATCCATGAAAGAAAGAACTGATAAGCCGGACTTCATTAAAACTAAACATTTCCGGGAATTCCCTGGCGGTCCAGTGGTTAGGACTCTGCGCTTTCACTGCCGAGGGCCCAGGTTCAATTCCTGGTTGGGGAACTAAGATCCTGCATGCCACACAGTGCGGCCAGAAGAAAAAAGAAAACCTCAAACACTTCTGCTCTACAAAGACACAGTCAAGAGAATGAGGAGACAAGCCACGGGCTGAGAAAAACAATTGCAGAAGAGATATCTGAGAAAAGGCTGTTACCCAAAACATACAAACACTTCTCAAAACCTAACAAAAAGAAAATGAACAGATTTTCAAACAGGCAAAAGATCTGGAAAGACACTTCATCAAAGAAGATATACAGATGGCAAACAAGTATATGAAAAGATGCTCCATGTCATAACGTCATTAGGAGAGGGAAAATCAAATAAGCTACCACTCAGCACCTATTAGTGTGGCCAAAATCCCACACCCTGACAATACCCAATGCTGGGGAGGACGTGAAGTCCTCATTCATTGCTGGTGGGAATGCAAAATGGTGCAGCCACTGGGGAAGACTGACTGGTGGTCTCTTCCAAACTAAACACACTCTCACCATGCAATTCAGCAGCTGTGCTCCTGGGTATTCATCCAAAGGAGCTAAAAACTTACGTCCACACAAAAACCTGCACACATGTGTTTACATCAGCTTTTTTCATAATTGCCAAAACTTGGAAGCAACCAATACGTTACTCAGTAGGCACGTGGATAAACTGGTCCATTCAGACAATGGCCTATCATTTCAACATCAGAAAGAAATGAGCTAACAAGTCAAGAAAAGACATGCAGGAAACTTAAATGTATATACTAAGTGAAAGAAGCCAATCTGAAGGGCTTCATACTATATGATTCCAACCATATGACATACCAGAAAAGGCACAACCATGGAGACAGTAAAAAGATCAGTGGCTGCCACGGGTGGGAAGAGGGGAGGGATGCACAGGTGGGGCACAGATTTTTAGAGCAAACTAGTCCGCACGATACTACAGTGGTGGGTAAGCGTCATCACACGTTTGTCTAAACCTTTGGGACGCACGACACCAAGAGTGAGCCCCATGTAACCTGTGGACTCAGGGTGATGACGATGCATCCGTGCAGGCTCATCGACTGTGACAGACGCACCATCTGGTGGGTATGCTGACAATGGGGGAGGCTGTGTGCGGGGCGGGTTGGGGGGAGGGTATGGGAACTCTCTGTACTTTCCAGTCAACTCTTCTGTGAACCTAAGACTGCTCTAAAGAGTAAAGTTTATCTAAAACAAACCAAAAAAACGTGTTATCAAGGAAGTCTTGCAGGAAAAGGAAGCTGTGGAAGGGCAGGTGTCGTCCAGCTCTGCTGGACGGCCTGGAGTTGGGCTGAGGGCGGCACGGGGCCTCCGAGTAAACCCCACGCTGGTCAGCCAGCCTCACACGCATGCACACGTGAGTGTGCGCACACAGACCACAGACCGTGAGCTGTGGCAAGCCCTCTGCAGAGGGGTCCTGGGGCAGGGAGCTGAGGGCCGAGGGGGCTGGCGATACAGACGGGGGGCCAGGCTTTCCAGGTGGAAGGGTCTGCAGGGGTGGTGAAGAGGTGCTCACAAAGGGGCCCAAACCGACAGGGGAAAGGGCAGGGACGGTGGGGTCCAGGAGGGCCACAGGCAGATGACCAGCCCTGTCCCCGCGGTGCCCACAGGAGGAGGCCACCCAGCCAGGCCTGGTCAACCCTGGGAGCACCAGACCCAAGGATGGCTCTGCAGCGCCCCCAGTGGCCTAGTCCCCGCCAAGGAGCCTCCAGGCACCCACACGCCCTGGCTGTCCCTGAGCTCCCTGGGCCCGCCCGTCGGGACCGCTCTGCACACACAGCCACCTGCTTGCTCTGCCTCTGGTCCTTGCTGAGATGGTGCCTGTCCCTTCCCTGACCACCCTCCTGCTCGGCGGGTCCCCCGATACCCTCAGGCCCCTGGCTCACCTGCTCGCAGACCCGCCATCCCCCAGCCCAGGGCCCCGGGAGTGCAGGGTCGTGTCCCCATCCCCCCGCCCCCCCAGCTCTGCGACGCTGCCTGGCTCGAAGCAGGCGCTCAATCCTCGTCAAGCGAATTCGTGCCTGGACTCCCTCTGGCTCTGGGCTGCTGGGGCCCCTCTCGGGCTTTGGAACGTTTCAGACGTTTCCAGAGCCAGGTTCTCTGCTGGTCCTTCTGCCTGACCCAGGCCCCCCCTTTGGGGACCCCCTTCCAGGACTGGCGCCAGGGTTAGGCGGGCAGATGCAATGCCGACAGGACAGTGTGTTGGCTGTCACCGGACTTCACCCCCGCAGTGGCCATCCTGGACCGGGCGACCGGGCATTTCATGTGGAGAAGTCCAGGGTGATCAACAGGGAACTGTGAGGTGACACCGAGTGACCCCACAGACGTTCTCTGGGGACTTCCTTGTGAGTCCGCCCTTCCCTCTCTGGTCGCCTGCCCTCTGGCCAGGTCACAGCAGGTGGCAGCAGAAGAGGTGGAATCCAGGCAGCCTGCTCCCTGTGGGTCTCCACCCCTCGGGCACTGATGCCCCACTGCCCCTGAGACCGCCCCCACCCTGCGCCTGTGAGATAAACTCAAGGAAGTGGGGCTCCAGGTGGCCTTGCAGTGACACCTCTCGGGCCACTGCAGCCCACTCTGCTCTGTGGGCACATCCCCTGGCATTTCCAGAAGCGATTAATCAAATGCGGAGCAGAATGACTCATCAACACCAATTCTAGACGAACCGCTGATCTAAACATGAAGGCGGAACGACCGTTAACACAGATTTCAGAGGATAACACAGGAAAATACCTTCATTCCTGCGGGAAGGAGTTTTCTTCCACAGAAAGACAGAAAAACACCAACAGTAAAGGGTGATCAACAGCCCAACATTAAATCAGGAGGATCTGCTCATCAAGACCACTTGGAACGAAAAGACAAAGTGGGAGAAAACACGTGCGATCCATTGAACTGACAAAGGACCTATAGTCAGAGCAAAGAGTAGCCCCAATCACCAAACACGGACAGACAACCGATAGTGAATGGCCCGAAACTCCAACAGACACTTTGCCAAAGAGAGTCCCCAAAGGGCCAGGAAATAAACAGAGAGGAGATGGGCCTCAGCGGACATCAGGGAGAGGCCAGAGAAAACCACGGGAACACCTTCCACAGCCACCGAGGTGGCAGGAATGAAAAAAGGTTCAACAGACCCCAGGGCCAGATGCCCGTATCCTGGGGTGAGGCACACAGGAGCTGAACACACCACACCACACCCGGAGCCCAGCGGCCACACCCTCGGCACGCTCCCCAAGGTCCACGCTCATGGGACATGGACGGCCAGTGGAGAACCCTCCAGAAACGTTTCTGTAAAGGAAAGTCACACAGCCAGGACACACGCCATCGCCTGGGCATCCCCCGGAGCCGAGAGGACCCGGGCTGGTGGTGCTGTGGTCTTTGGATCCAGGCAGCAGGTCACTCCATGAAAACTCACCAAGGTGCACACCTGTGATTTTGCATTCTTCCATGTGCACGTGCACTTACACACACACACACACACACACACACACCTGTAAAAAAATGTTTCAGTGAACAAATTTCTTAGGAGGAGCTGTTAACCTCAGGTCCCTGACCTCCGATGGGCCCGCAAGGCTGTCTTGAGCAAGGACGACGCTGGCCAGTGTGGCTGGTTCCTGCAGGTGTGCCTCGGCGGCTTGTGTCCCATGGAACCCAGCGTCGTGGGAGAACAGGCCACCAGAGAACAGAGTTCCCGTGCAGGGAAGACTGCCTGACGTGAGATGCCAAGGGAGCTAAGCGGATCGGGGGGCGTGGTCTCAGGCTCGACGGCTCCTTCCACAGGCCCGGCCCTCCCCGAGCTCCTTCAGACCCTGGAAAACTGCTAGAGGCGCATCCGTCGGTGGAGCGGGGTGAGGGGCGGCGTGGGCGACCTGTGACTGCGCTCCACCCCCAGGCCACCAGGTCACAGCTCAGCGTGGACTGGACCCAACTAAACAGCCCGCTGCGTCGGCCCCAGCAGCTTTCTCAGGACCAGATGACGTGGCGGCACTGAGCACCCGGGGCACCATCCTGGGTCACGGAGGACAGGCCAGCGGGGCTGCGCTCTGACAGGCGAAGCCCCCCGTGAACCGCCCCAGGACAGAAGCCCCAGGACAGAAGCCCCCAGAAGGGCGCCAGCCAGCCTGTCGGCTCACACTTCATCGTTCCTCCCGCACGGCCCACAGCCCCCTCCCGGGGCCTGGGCCCGCCTACAGGTCCACACAGGCTGAGCACCCACACCTTCCCTTCCTGAAACAAGGAGACCTGAGCCTAAGGTACGGAGCCTCGTGTGTGCCCCTCACCTGCTGGGCTCAGGGGGCCTGGAACGGAACTGCCCAAGTCTGTTTCGGAAAGAAGTTTCCTCTCCCCAAAGGGCCTGCCTGCTCTAGAAAGCCGCTGACTGTTCTAATTAATACGTGCTCACTCCAGGTTAGAGAAGCTTTAATTGTCGATGAGGCGGTATTCTGGTTTCCTGATTATTAGATTTTCAAACTCAAAGAATGTTTCCTTCCAAATACTAAGTAAGGTGCTCTGATGCGAGCCCGGCCTAGGACTGCCGTCCTCTCTCTCCCTTCTGCTGGCGCAGAAAGGCAGACTTGATCTCAAGCTTGAAGCTGCACATGAGGCCAGGTGCCAGCGCCCCTCAGATGGTGGGCCCTGCCGCCCCGGCCTCACTCCTTGAGAGGGGGCCTACCCCTGACCCCGAGCGTATCGCGAGTGCCCTCCTTACAGAGAAAATGCCTGCAGGTTTAAGCGAAGAAATCAATTCCTGCCCGGTTCCAAGCTGACAGGCGAGCAGCCCCGCGCCGAGGGCCTCACTTGCTGGCGAGTTCCAGCACCTTGCTCACCATGGCCCCGACCCCGTCGTGAATGTGGTGGAAGGCCGTGTCACACATGAAGGCCGGGGTCGTGACCACCTTGTTCTTCTGGTCCACGTGAGCCTCGTGCACACAGGTTACGGAAGAACACTGCATAGCCGGAACAGACGGCGCGGGGCGTCAAGCACCGCCCACCCCCTCCCAGACGCGCATCCCACCCCCACCCCAACGTCACCTGGAAGGGGCTTTCTGCACCCCCTGCGCTACTTTGACTGAAGACCCTGGAACCTGACCCCACGGGCTGCTTCCTAACACACGCCCCAGCAGCGGGCCTCACGGGACCCACAGCTGCAGACGCGGGCCGGACGCCCGATCACCAGCCGGGACCCCAGGGCCACCCTGAAGGCAGCGGCAGTGCCTCCGAACGCCCACTGTGAGCACGGGGCAACCGGACCCGGGCCCAGCCTCAGCACAGAGGCGCCTCACCTCTTCCCTGAGACCTGCTTCCTGGGCCAACGCCAAGCCCCAGGTCCGGGGCTGGCCGCTCTGTGCTGGACGGGGAGGGACCTTCACACGTGAAACTGCCTGCAAGTAGAGACACACCAAGGAGCGTGCTCCGGCCAGGACAGATGCCCGGAGGGTAACGGGCTGGTCTCCTGCGCCTCCTGGGGCCCACGCTGTTCTGCTGCTGACTCCGGCCCCCATGGAGACCCTCGGGTCCAGGCGCAGAGCTGGAAGGAGGGTAGCCTGTGGCCTGAGGCTCTCTACACCCGCAGCGCAGCCTGGTGACCTCAGGACACAGAGGACCCGCTTGTGGGAGGAATGGGGGCGATAAGGCTGCCGGGGGCGGCTCTCCGTCTGTGCCACCCAGGGGACTGCCACCAGATAAAGACAAGTAGCCCTCACACTTTCCACCCCAGCCTCTGGCCCGGCACCGGGTACTCACTCTCCCTCTGCCACAGGCAGCGCCCTACCCACCCCCCACGAGCCACGGCTGTCTCCTCACCCGACCCACCGAGCCCCGGGCCTGGGGTGTGCTGAGCTCAGCCAGCGTCACTGTGGGGACGTGGGAACGTGGGAACGTGGCCACTGGACGGCGGAGGGGTCACAGCCTCAGGCGCTATGCCCCTCCACACACATGCCCTGGGCGCCCCAGCTGTGCAGCACCCCAGGGTGGCCCCGAGGGCGGTTTCCCACGTTGCCCCCGCTGCTGGAAGGATATGGTCACTCCCGTCACGCAATGCTTGGCACCCAGGGCTTTGATGACCTGTGCGGTCCCGGCGTGCGGCCACCTGCCGCCTTCCTCCTGCTCGTGGCCCACGGTGACCTCGACACTTCTGAGCACTTTGGCCGCGAGGACGGGAGCGATGCAGCACAAGCTGAAAGGTGAGGAAAGGAGGGTCAGCTCAGGGTTGTGAATGCGGCCGCCAGGCCGGGGGCCCAGCAAGTCATGCTTAGAGAACGCGGTCAGCCTCAGAAAGGGGCACAGACACCAGTGCCGCGGGGATGGAGGACCCAGTGCCAGAGCCTCTGCCAGCTCTGTGGGCTGGAGCCTGCCCCTGCCCCTGGGCTGCCCGTGGCAGTTGTGACCAGTGGAGCATGGGGGGGGGGGCCTCCAGGCACCCGGGCCCCGGCGGGA